AAAATCATTTAACTATTTAACGAGAGTACGAATCAGATCCGTACGTGTCCCCGCGCGCGTTAAGCGCGCTCACAACGCGCGGAAAAGGTCAAATCCAAAATGTTTACATGATTTAGATTCCTCTTACCATAAATGACAATTTACATTAATTTCAGTCACTCTTGACCTTTCATAAGGCCGTGAGCGCGCGTCAAAGTTCAAAATCCGCGCGTGCTGCTATGGGAAATATAATGCAAATTTGATCAAAAACATGCCATTTTGAAAATCGAAATAGCTCTTCAGATAGTGCATCGACCCCCAATTTTTATATCATGGTTGGAAAAAGCATGAGTTGGAGATATGATTTCATGTCTCATTTGACCCTCAATTAACTCATGACGTCATCATAATGGCCTCCGAACTCAAAATTTCAATTTGCATATTATGACGTCAGCAGATTTTTGGAAAATTGATTGTATCTCTGTAAAAATTGATCAATTTTCTTTCAAATTTTGATATGTTCTACCTGAGAATATTCTCTACAAATGCAGTTGCCACAATATTTCATTTTGACAATAGTATCATGGCGTATTTTCGCGATTAAAGGAGGCATTTCAATTTTTCACATTTTGCATGCATTCTCTATGGGACATGACTTTTTCTCAAAACTGGATTCTATATTCTCGTCTTTCGCGAGCAATATCTCTGTTGTTTTATCTTTGTTTACGCTGAGCTTTGAGTATGTTGTAGCTGAGACAAGCTATCACAAGTGTGTCCTTTATTTTTCGATCAGATGCCGGGATCATGCTCATATTTCACTTACAAAGTGGGATTTGAGAATATCATTTTTCGTTTACACACCTGTACGTGTAATCTCTATGGGAAATGTTTTGGTATATCGGTAACGCACTTGACTTCCGACCTCGAGGTCCCTGGTTCGAGTCCGGGCGTCTCCAAAAAAAAAAATTCTTCACTTTTTTTTCTTTTTGACCTTTCACTGTACCATCTCCTTTGAATATTAAAACATGTACAATCGCAAATAATGTAATAAACAACCATATTTACTTTATTATTACCCTATTATCACTTGATCCATTATTCTTCATTTATCAATTCATATCTCAATACATCATTTTACATTAACATCATTTTATTGGGTAATTGAATTGAAGATGAGCATGGTCATAAGAATTGAAGACAGACCACCTGATTCGTCCCCATGACGAAATAAATTTCTAGTTTTTAATCTGTGTCTATTTTGATTATTGGAATTTAAAGGACTTAAATTTATATTCCTTAAATCCTATTATAAACGACTGATGTGGAAGACTGGTCAACGCACCCTTTTGGCTAAACCGGGGGGCTTTGGACGATTGGTCGCATTTGACACGACGCGACACTGCCAACGCACCCTTTTGACCAAACGGGGGGGGGGGGGGGCTTTGGACGAATGGTCCCGTTCAAGTCAACGCGACGCAACGCCACCCTACCCACCCTTTCGGCATAAGCCTAGTTTACGTGTTAAAATGTTCTTTGAGCGAGCGCGGACACCATACAGTGTTTTTGGGCTGGGACTCCCAACTGATTGAAAATTTCAGTCATTTTTCGTTGGTGACATTTAAAACAGACAGCTTCTCAGATTTCCCGTGATGTTTTAACAAATCTTTACTTGATAGAAGGATAAGGTAAAAATTCTTGGTAGATTTTTGTTTGAATTTGGCATATAAAAGGGATATCGACTGCTTTAATATTCGAGGTCTGGCTGTTTTTGTATGCTCTCAGGAACTCGCTCAGATCCTGCCATGACCACTCAGCATGCCACCCACCCAGGCGCGCCACAGGGTAATGGCAGGATGCGGGAGTTCCCTTGAGCATATAAAACCAGCCAGGCCTCTCAAAGCAGTGGATATCTCTTTTAGTATCCCCTGGCAGTATGCCAGTGGGATACTTTGGATTCAGCAGCGTTACGCCATGCACGTCCTCCACCGCGGCGTCATGTTCTTGTGTGCGCTCTAACTGCCACATTCCTTGACGGATTTCTTTCAAATCTGGTAAGGAGGTGTATCTTGGTATAATCTACACACCTATAACTTTTGGTGATGCTGCCCCCAGTGTTCTGTCTTCTATAGGGTAAAATGTCATATTTTTGTAGATGGTTTGTGTGCGCTCTATAGGCCACATTTCTCAAGGGACTTTGTTCAAATTTGGTATGAAGGTGTACTGTATCTTAGTATAATCTACAAGCCTATAGATTTTGGTGATACTGCATCCAGTGTTCCGTCTTTTATAGGCTCAAAGGTCATATTTTGATAGATGTCTTGTGTGCACTCTAGTGTGCTCTTCAACTACATGTACATCATTTCTTGACAGATTTCTTTCAAATTGAGTATGGAAGTGTATGTCATCAGGGCTGTCAACGGCCCTCCCGCATCTGGAGGGAGCCTTACGCCACCACACTCATTCTCCCGCCGCCCCAAAAGCTCGTAGCATGAGACTCCCGCCACCACGCCTTCCTCTCGCTCCCGCCAACGATGTAGAATCTCCCTTTATTCAGCGGCTGGCTGAGTCGTTGCGAAATTTGTCCGCTTATTCAGCAGCTGGCTGGCTTTGGCACTTAATATTTTCTCCAAAAAAAAATCTCCCTCCGAGCAGTTTCCCGAAGTTGACAGCCCTGTGTATGTTGGTACAATCTACACATCTTTAGTGTTTGGTAATGCTGCCACCTGTGTTCCATCTGTTATACTGTCAAAGGTCATATTTTTGTGGCTATCTTTTGTGTGCCCTAACTGCCACATTTCTGGACAGATTTCTTTCAAATTTTCTACAGAGATGCATTATACTCTAATCTACAAACATATTGTTTTGGTGATGCTGCTCCTAGTCTTGACAATGGTCCGAGCCACTAGTGGCGATCTCTACCTCATCCTTTTGTTTCAGGGATGGGAGAGGGGATCTTTTTCCCTCCTTCAAACATACATGTAAGGACGACACAAAATCGCTGCCCCTGCCGGGGGATACATTCGCATTGCGCGGCAATACAGATTGCGATATTTCTAGGTCTTTGTGTAATCATTCTATCTTTCCTTATACATGTATATTATTCTCGTTTTTTATAATCTCTGTCTTTCTTTCTCTCCTGCCAAAACACACTCACTTCTGGTTGAAAATCGCTTCCTGGCACGGTTTATGTTCACACTGCACGCTAGCAGATCGGTCTTTGGCAATCTAGGAAGTGAACCGGTCCAGAAGATCACATTGCGAGGTGGCCTCCTGGATCGATTCAGAAGATCGCTTCCTAGACCGCTTGTCTGTTCACACTCACAGTTAGACCAATCTAGCCTGGATCGGTCTAGAAAGTGAGTGAGAACAGGGTCTCAACAACCAATCACAACGATAAACACATGCAATGTAATCAGGCGTTGAGGTCTCTCTTCATTTTGAAAAAACTTTATAAAATTAGAAAATGGTGGGCCATATAGCTGAAGACGGATGACCCAATCGGTAAAAGTCAGCTCAAATACTGGCTGAAAAACCAAGAATTTTTTTCACCAAATGAAACTTGGAAGTTCTATTTGTTACTTATTTTTAATCAGCATTGACTCATCAAATTGTTTATCATATCATTTGAAAGTATCATACAGCAGGTTTTACATAATATTGCGTGAATATACTACAGTGGCGCCCGTCTTTATACACAGCCAGGATAGTAATGCTGTGGGCTATATGGCCCGAAAGTATTCACCCTCTGCTAGCTCTGCATGGTCCTGCACCCATTCGTATAACACAAATTTATATTATAAATATCTTTAGATACATGTAGGTGTCTAAGGTCTGTATATTTAGAAGATATATATTGGATATACATGTAGATCTTTATACAATGCCTACTAAGATTCTTGCAACCTCATTGGTCAATTCCTAAACACATGACATGTGCTAAAAGTACTGTTGAATGGCATCGTTCTCCAGCCGTGCAATTCTGTTTGATCCATTTGCACCATTGCACGCTGACGTCACTAACGATGTACAAAGTATATGGTGAGGTAAGTAACGTCACCGTGCAAACGGATCAAACAAAATTGCACTCCGCGTCCTAATAAACATAAAGCTTGGTATGTGCATGGCTTGCTGCCTGCTTAATAGTGCGTGCCACTATCAGCAATTTCATCAATAAAAACAAACAAAATCACTATGAGATTTAGGCCTAGGAAAACTGTTCTTTAAAAATGAATTGTTTGAAGCCTGTTAACGTCTGAGGTGTTATATATAAGAAATAGTGAATGGTCTTTATTCGTGCAATGGAACAGGATTTTGCATTCGGTGAAAGATGAGACGCTCTATTTAACTCGGCTGCGCCTCGTTTGATAGAGCATCTCTTATCTTTCACCTCGTGCAAAATCTTGTACCATTGCACTCATGGTCATTCACTATTTGTTAATAGTGCACTTGCCCGATTGTAGACATTAATCCAAAGTTACAGAATTGTTTACCCTATTTTCCTGTTCTCGCCAGAGGTTACTACAACTACAAGAAAGCAAAGTGCAGATCTACTAGTGAACACTTGTGCACCGCTTAGGTTCGTCCAAGCTAGCTTAGCTCTTAATATAGAAAACAACTGTACTACTGGCAAAAACATGCTACCTGGGGGGTGTTTCATAAAGAGTTTGTAAAGTTACGCATGACTTTACGAACGACTTGTATATGAAGTGCCAGATAGGATGCCCAAATTTTTTTCTGATATTTCCAATAACCTCAATTAAATTATGGCAAAAAATATACTTTGCATTAAAAATGTTTGTTATAATAAGAATGTTAATCTACATCTGCACGGTTCAACTTAATAAATAATAATCAAGAATGATTGAGCATCCCGTTTGGCTTTTCATATACCAGTCGTTCGTAAAGTCATGCGTACCTTTATGAACAGCTTTATGAAACACCCCCCTGGCCTGTTTAAATATTGGATATAGATTAAATAAATGAATAATATCCATTTCCCTCCTTTTTTCTTGTTAGATACATGCGCTAGTCATTCATGCACTAGCAAATCAACGTTTCTCAAAATCATGGGAGGTTCAGGTAATCCTGCCCTGATCAGCTGTTGTCTGCTCTTCGTCTGCCTCTGTCTGACCAAGCAGTTCTCTCTGTACGTCGATGCCCTCAACGTTGACCTGGATGTCGATTGTGTCCCGGACATCAGTGACATGGTAGACTATGATCCAGTGACTCAGACGAGCGCTCGATGCGAGAAGATGAAGCGTGAGAAGCAGAAAGCTAAAGACCAGTGCCAGGTAAGGTCCCGTTGAGATGCAGTATGAACTGTTTCAAGCCTTGGGCAGAGCTGCCAACCATTCCGTTTTTGCCGGAATTTCTCCCTTTTTTTCTCCAATTTACGGTATTACGTTCTTTCTTCATAAAATCCTTTTTTTTTTACATACCGCACGTCAAGCAACTGCCCTAAAATGGTGATTTGATCATGCACAAATTCAATAGAAACTAAATTTAAAACATACTTGAAAAGAAAAATATTCTCAAAAAGAATGAAATGCCGATAATACCAAAATAACCACCAAAAAAATTCCTGCTTGTATTGTATGGAAAAAACAGCATGATGAATGAAAAATTCTGCATTGGAAGTGTGTTGCGCATGGTTGTAAGTTTCGTTTTTATATGAATTCCTTTTTTTTTGCCATCAGCATGATTCCTTTTTTTGGTCGCACAAGGTTGGTAGCTCTGATGGGGGTGTTTCATAAAGATGTGCATAAAGTTACGAATGACTTTACAAATGATTTGGATATGAAGAGCCAAATGGGATTTCCATAGTTTTTCCTGACATTTAACAAAGTTTGACTGTATTTCCCAAAATATCAATTAAATTGTAGCCAAAAATACACTTTGCATCAAAATGTTTTGTTAATAATGATAAGGTTAATCTACATCTGCATATTTCAACTTTAGCTTATGCAATTAAAAGGATTTGAGAATCCCATTTACAGAGCTACCAAGTGTCACGCATTCGAGGGTCTGAAAACCCTCTCACGCATGACGCGGGCGCTATTTCAAAACGTACGCTATACAAGCGCGCCGAGTCATGAAAATGTCAAGCATAGCTGATCTTTAAACTTGGCGTCTCTGCATTTAGCTCTTCATATTCAAGTCATTCGTAAAGTCATGCATGACTTTACGCACAGCTTTATGAAACACCCCCCTGGACCCATACCTATACTTCAACCCTAACCTAATATACATGTGAAACCCATATATACAACTCGCCCTAACTTTATAGCTTTGACAAAATATTATCAAGAAAATTGGTTGTCAGAGAAATTGTTGGATTACCTTTCTAGTTATCAAATTACAACCCAACACCCGTTCCGAAAAAAACACAGCCATCAAACAAAACAAAAACTCATGCTTTTGATGATGGCACATGTACAGTATGTCACATCATTGAACACTAAATAGAAATTAATACTATAGTTGATTTTGTATTTTATTTTATTTATATCTTTTAACTAGTGACCTTTGTCAAATATTTGCTACTTACACAGCCACACTTACTAGGTAGAGTGGGCAGAAAGAGACTGAGGGTATTTGGAATGTATGTGATGTACCATCAGGAATTTATTTTAGAACCTATGTTGAAACACCTTTATGGTATCTTTTTGAGGTTAACAACCAAGTATCGTGAAAGAAGTACCAGTACATGATCCTTAAAAGTACATATGGAACCAGTCTATATCCTGAATTTTGAAACATGGAGTTGAACTATGTTTCTTTATGTCATGATTAGAGTAGTTTATTGAAGTGAATGAAATCGATCTGGTTTATTGCTAAAAACACATTCAAATTAGCAGCCATAAGGCTGAAACAAAATGGCTTACAAACATTGAAAATCTTGATTCAAATACAATGTAATGCTTCACCAGATGGATAAGTATAAAAAAAATAGAGATAACATCAACATTATTTACTTGTAGCATGCCATGCAATTAGAAACACAAGAATTAAATGCATGTATTATATATTTTCTAGGCTAATTTAGCAGATGCACAGCACAATCTTGAAGCCTGTTTGACAGCCAGCGATTTCAAGCCATGTGTATGCCCCCCGCCTGTCGAGTGTGAAGATGATGTCAAAGCTATGCCTTGTCGTGATGCTGACGATATGTTCTTTCGTCGTCTTGTACGTCACTTAGTCAATGTCATCCAGAAAAAAGTAAGTCAAAAATCAGCGTTGTTTTAATAGTGAATATGTTGTGCCCTGTGTTGTAAAAAACGGTTGATCCAAAACAATCTTAGGTCCATCATTTGATTCTCTGTAGATAAAATGTTTATAATTTATGTAGAGAGGTGCATTTTACCTTGTAATGAGTTGCAACTGATTTCAATTTTATGTTAAGTTTTGATTGGTTGCAATTAACCACAACACTCAACAAGGCAGGGGGGGTGGTTGGTATCAATAGATATGCGAGAATTGACAAGAAAAACAAGTAAGACATGCAATGGCATGGTCTTAAATACAGTGGTTCAAAATTATTAGTAAAATATGTGTGTGTGATGGGGGGGGGGGTAGTTCTTACATGACATGTTGAATGCCAATTCTCAAAGGTTGCAAGGAAATGGTAAGTGGAATTATGAGTGTTTTTTTGTGTGTAATTGGAGTCAATAGGTAAGCTTTAAATAAAAGATCTGAATGTGGACTGGCTATTATGTGGCTAAAAGCACATGTACAAGTGTAAATTCATGTTCTTGTTTTTTTTTTTTGGGGGGGGGGTTCAAACCTTGATGTAATTGGCTGTTGAGTGATGTTGCCAAGGTAGCTGAAATTGATGGAAAAGTTACCATCAATGGTAAGTTGAATGCAACATGGCTCTGCATGGTATCGATATCATTGGAGTGACTGAGGTGTTTAAGAGGGAGAGGGTCATCACATTGGAGTGACTAAGGTGTTAAAGAGGGAGAGGGTCATCAGTTTCCATGTGCAGAAGGTCACAGTGCGCTGACACCAGACTTGGTTGAAAGACCATTACAGTAATGGGTGAACATGTCTGCACACAGCAAACCCATATTCCAATCAAGAACTACCCCTTAGTCTCTCAGAGAGGCTGTTCACACCAGCAGAGATAGCGCTGTCTAGCGCGCTAGACCGCGCTATCTCTGCGGTGTGGAAGGTACAATGTCATTTCGGTCCGTCCAACAGCGAGCCAGGGCGAGCCAAAACGGCGTACCACTGGAGCACCTCTTGGGGGTGGTCCACGAGAGAGAGCGTGGTCTAGCGCGCGCTAGACAGCACTATCTCTGCCGGTGTGAACCCGAGCTACGATAGCATGCCGGAAGTCACCGTTCTACATGTACACACGGGGAATTTAATACTCATTCTATTTTGGTGCGATCTGAATCTGAATCGGTACAATTCCTAGTTCGTAATAGCGCACAAAATCTTTGACCGCTCTGACCTCATGACGTCACGCGTCATGACAACAGGACCTCTCAAAAAAGGGGGTGCTATGATAGACCGCGCTATCTCACTGTGGTGTGGATCCGGCAATTGCCAATGGGTGGACCGTGGGTCGCGCTACGATAGCGCGATCCACGGTCCGCCCACGGTCCCCCCTTGCGGTGTGAACACGCCCAGAGAGTCTTCCAGTGATAGAAAAGTATGATAATGACTTTACCATAAAGGGGAATGGGTGGAAAGGCTGAGCATTACATAAAGCCTGTTGGTCATAAAACTGGCGCTAATTCTATGCTTCTTTAAAGAGAAGGTTGAGTTCTGGGAAGAGGTAAAAAATAATTTGTGATCGTTATCATTGTTTTATGCAAGTGTGGAAGAACATCAGAGAAAAAATTGTCCCTGAAAAGTATGGCTCTTTAAATGCCTTAATATTCCAATATGGCATGTAACAGCATAACAATCGAGACAGATTTTTATGTCACATGTTTATGTAGTTTCATAAACATATTTCTGTGTACAGTGCTTGAAACTTTACCAAGACTGGGCCAATTTCCTATCATTTTGATGATTCCAGAACCTTGCAGTACACACCAATACCTACAGTATATGCTAGATGATCAACCTTTTCTGATCGATTGCACACCGTTTCTTTCACAATGCAATCGCACGACCACAACTCAACTTTATCTTTTAACCCACTCCTTGGTTTCTCCATTCTCAGGCCCCAGAGAGCGGCCAAGTTGAAGCCCAGATGGAGATCCACCTCACCAGTCACGATTGGAAGAAACTCCAGAGCTTCGCTGATGGTAAGGACGATTACCGACGGGCCGACATCCACGATGTCATGGTCGGCATGACGATGAACATCTTCTATTTTAACCAGACCAGCATCATGGAGTGGCTCGGCGAACAGGTCAATCTGAAGTCGCCTGCAGCTATTCTGGTAAGCCAACCAATTCATTTCTACTCACATACATGTGTGGCGTATTAGTTTGATTTTTGAAAATGGAGTTAAAGTATACCATTACCCAAAATTTTCATGAAATATTGCAAGTTTAGATGCGCTCTCAATGAACATAAAAGTGACTTGAGTAGACTAGTTGACTAGTTGACCACAATTTTTGGTTCGTCAGGCAGGCGCTTTACTAACTGTTCTATTGAATTTGAAACATAAAAGTGTGATTCATTTAATAGTACTTCTCTTCTTCTTCTTCCTTCATCTTAGCTTACGGTTTCCATCACAGTCTCATGCCTTGTGTTTGGTGTCGGCATGTACTCAGACCTATACTGGAATCGACGCTTCATGGCCTGTCTCCTGACCTCCATCTTCGTCATCAGTGTCATATGGAATTGGATTTATCTCTATCAGGTTAATAATTATAATCAAAATAAGGTCTAAAAAAAACGATGTTGTATTGTCCTTTGCGACTGACCCAAAAATCTTGAAATCTACGGTTGGGTTTTTAAAATAGTTTTTTTTTTTTTAACACTTACAAAAAAAAAATGTTTAATGAATAAAAAATATGTATCGAAGCATTCAAAACTGAGAAATATCAGCCTAAAGAGGGACCACCAAAAAAAAAAAATAACAAAAATTCTTACCGACCGACCATATTTTGGCACCTAATGGGCAATACAACATCTTTTCGTTTAGGCCTAACTGGTGTTTATGTACCAGATACCAATATCAAACTGACCATAGCGTCTAGTGTAGTGTAACGCCAGTGATTATATTCAATGAAGATTCTGCACTTCGCAGTGTACACTCGGTTACTCCAACGGAAAGCATATTAGCCCATCGCTATTTCACATGTGGGCACTCGTATGTTTACCTAACCACTTTGACATTGCATTTTGGGTGGATAGGCATTTAACGCCACAGTTGAGAGAGCATAAGTGTCATGCTAAGGTTCAAACTCATAAACTTATTATTTTTATTGTTGTTGTTGTTGTTGTTATCATTATCATCATCATTATCATCATTTTTTTTTTTCACCTTAAAACCCAGGAAGAAACCATCAAGCGTTACCGCAATGCTCAGAAGTACGAAAAGATCCCAGCCAACTGCATGCCACACAAGATGACCTGGGTGCAGGCCCTGCAGGAATGGTTTAGTTCCATGACATCCATCCGCAAGGATGAGTGCTTTGAGTACCACAGGATCTACCAAGTGGATCCCCTCTTCGATATCCCTCCAACCAGGGTAGGTCAATAATAAATAATAATAAGAATAGCGGCATCTATCTAGAAATTCTATTCCAAGGCGCACTAATGATCACCCCGGTTTTAGCCTAGCTGCCATTACAGCGCTCCAGCATTTCAAGGAATTAATTCTTGCCAGGTACCAATTTACCTCACCTGGGTCGAGTGTGGCAAATGAAGATTAATGCCTTGCCAAAGGACATTAGTGCCGTGTCGGGGAATTTCAAGTCAAGTGCTTAAACCACTTGACTACGACACTTCTACAATATAATAATGATGATGGTGATGATAATAGAGATGATGATGATGATGATAATAGAATCTTGTATAGAGCTCATGTGTAGGACATTGCCACTACTTGTGCTCCATTATGTTGTAGTGGTGGTTATTCTAACTGACTTCTAAGAAAGCATAAATGCTTGTTAGTAAGCAACCAGAGGACCAACTGCTTTAGGTCCTTTCCGAGGGACCTGGTAATGAGGATTAATGCCTTCCAAAGGGCACTATAGAGATGCCAACCGTTCCGCTTTTTGCCGTATTTGTTTCGTTTTTTTGCTATGAATACGGCTGTACGTTTTTTGTATGTTTTGTTACGTTATTTTTTAAAACTTTTTTCAAATTGATGATTTTCTTAATTTCCAATCGTCGGCTTTGTGTCATATGTGTATTATGCATCTATGTCTTCAAATGATTCACGCAGGACGGTGATACAAGACCATCTTCTTCCTGTTGTTATTTCGTTTACAATCCAGATCTATGCTTAAATGTCATTTTAATTTTTGCACAAGTGCTCCTTGAGCATTTGATTCAAAGTGGAATCAGTGTTTTACAAATCTCATATATTATTAGTAGTAGTTGTATTTATTCTATCGATGCCATGTAAGCTGCTATAGGTAGGCTATGAAAGGAAATTAATGTAATTGATAACCTGCCTCATGAAATTTTTATATCATACATGGTGATAAGCTTGTTGGTACAGCATTTAGTTATTGGTAACCCATGTACTTCCAAGTTCTTTCATTCCTAGACTAAATGCAGGAACCCCAACATTTTAATTCACGATAGGAACAGTTTTCTTAAAAGACGGACAACCTTTATTTACAAGATTATTGTATTTCTAAGATAATATATTTGCCTTGTGGTACATAATGTGACATGCATTATCCAAGAACAGAATATGGTCATTATTTCTCAGAAAATAATTCTAGATGACTTTAATCCCCAACAAGTAGAGGTGTCATGGTCGAGTGGATATGTCGCTGGACTGTCGATCACAAGGTCCGCGGTTCAAGTCCTGCCGCGGCACTAATGTCCTTTGGCAAGCATTGATCTACATTTGCCACACTCGACCCAGGTGATGTAAATGGGTACCTGGCAGGAATTAATTCCTTGAAATGCTGGAGCGCTGTAATGGCAGCTAGGCTAAAGCCGGGGTAATAATAAATGCGCCTCGGAATAGAATTTCTAGATAGACGGCGCTATAAAAATGCCGATTATTATTATTATTATCATTAATGTAATCTCTCTTTTTTTTTTCTTTCTTGCAGGCCCTATCCGTCACGGTTTCTTCATTGTTTGTCGACAACTTCAAATACTTTGGTCGAGCCGTCAGCGAATTCCATGCGGAGATCTTCAGAGACCTTCCAATCTGGGCTGCACTTCCTGCTCTTGTGTCTTGTTATGTCTTTGGATTCTTTGCTCTCTATGCATACATCGCTGCACCCAGGAGGGTCCTGAAAGAGCGGCCCGTCCTGCAGCAGGTCCGCAGAGGACCACCTGCACTGGGAGCTGCCAGGGAACATAACTTACCGGTAAGGGTTTTACTCGATACTCACATAATTACAAAGACTTTAAATCCCCACCGCACTACTTGTAGCCACTTGCTCCCTCTACAGTTATATAGAAAACAATGCCTAATCGGTGACCATTGGTCCCCCATGATCCCCTTTTTCTAATGTTAATTGAGAGCTGAGTTCATGAGAAAGCCACCTGTCAATGACCACCCTGGGTGGTCTAATCCCTCCTAGCGAAACTAGTACAGACGGCCTTTAAGGAGTCAAAGCATAAGCAATTTAAAAACACTATTGTACTACTTTTAGATATTATGTGTGGACGTGTAATTTGTCTTTACAACATTTGCCCTTTTTATGCCTCCGCCCAGCAAAGTAATGCAGGAGGCATTACGTTTTTGGGTTTTCCGTCAGTCCGTCCGTACCGCTTTCTTGTTATCGCGATATCTCAAGAACCACTTAAAGAGAAGGTTGAGTTCTGGGAAAGGTAAAACAAATAATATGAGAGCTTTTTATGCCTCCGTTACGAAGTAGCCGGAGGCATTATGTTTTCGGGTTGTCCGTCCGTCCGTCCGTACGTCCGTACCGTCCGTACGTCCGTACGTCCGTCCGTCCGTCCGTACGTCCCGTTCTCGTGATCGCGTTATCTGAAGAACCAATTGATGGATTCCTGCCAAACTTTGGTCATGTATGTTACTTGCAGAGCCGATGAACTGATTAGATTTTGGGGTCACGAGGTCAAAGGTCAAAGGTCACAGGGCTCATTATGTATGCAAAAACAGCTCGTGATCGCGTTATCTGAAGAACCGATTGATGGATTCCTGCCAAACTTTGGTCTTGTATGTATCTTGCAGAGCCGATGAACTGATTAGATTTTGGGGTCACAAGGTCAAAGGTCACAGGTCACAGGGCTCATTAGGTATGCAAAAAGAGCTCGTGATCGCATTATCTCAAGAACCGATTGATGGATTCCTGCCAAACTTTGGTCATGTATGTATCTTGCAGAGCCGATAAACTGAATAGATTTTGGGGTCACGAGGTCAAAGGTCAAAGGTCACAGGGCTCATTATGTATGCAAAAATAGCTTGTGATCACATTCTCATTAGAACAGATTGATGGATTCCTGCCAAATTTCGATCATGTATGTATCTTGCAGAGCCAATGAACTGAGTAGATTCATGGGTCATGAGGTCAAAGGTCATGGGCTCATTATGTATCCAAAAATAACTTGTGAACGCATTCTCATTAGAACTGACAGATGGATTACTATTTAACTCAGGACATCTTGCAGAGCCAATGAACTGAGTAGATTTTAGGGTCATCAGGTCAAAGATCAAAGGGTCATATATGTATATGAGAAATTGCTTGTAATCACGATATTCTGAGAACCTCTTAATGGATTACAATTGAACTTGAATTTGAAAAATTTCTTCTGTTTTGGTTTGTAAAATTGCTCTATGACGGAGGCATCATTTTCGACTGCGTGCAGTCGAAGTTCCATCTAGTTTCCTTCTGTTACTTCAATTTGGAAGAGTATCATATACAAGATGTCCTCTCAAAAGGATAGCTCTTTAGATGCCCATGTATTCGAAATATGGCAAGCAACAGCTAAAAAAAAACACACATTCATGCCACATGTTTGTGTAGTCCCTTACACATTTCTGCATGTAACTTTTTAGCAAGACCATGAAGACTGGGCCAATTTCTGTTGATGATTCGGAAACCTCGGTGTAGCTAGATAATCAACCTTTTCCAATCGCTTCCAAACAGTTCCTTTCCCAATGCAATTGCATGACCAGGGGGGTGTTTCACAAAGATTTTAAGTCAAACGTAACTCTAAGTTGGACTTAAAAATTATGGAAAGCCATTTGTAGCCCTAAAATAAAATATATTCAAAAGCAAAAATTCAAGTATTTTAGAATGTTCATAAATTCCACATCAAGAACATGAAATCTCCTAGATAATAGAAAATATGAATGATTTGAATCAACATTTTATTTCTTCTAAAGTTACTTTTACAAAATATTTTCAAAGATGCTAATGGCTTTTCATAATTTTTAAGTTCAACTTAGGATATTTGTGAAACATCCCCCTGAACTTAACTTTATCTTTAAGTAAACATGTATGTCACAAGGTGAAAATGTCACAATTCATTTCCAGACCAACAAAAATCATTGAATCTGTGTTATAAAACATAGAAATGTATCATCAAAAAAAGGCTGTTGTGGTTTTGCTGTGTCATGACTGAACGACCCTTTACCCCCAACTTTTCTAATCAGATCATCTACCTTTGGTGATATGCATCATCTACAAATTTGAACCTCGTATCTCTAGTGGTTCTTGAGATATTGTGCTAACAAGGCCAAAACCTGGAGTTGACCTCTGTGATCTTTGACCTAGTTACTCAAAAATCTGATCAGATTGACTTCCTACGAAGATAAATAATATCATCAAGGTTGAAGTTCATAACTTTTTTTTAAGTATTTAGAAATTGGATACAGATAGCAGATTTCATCAGCATACTATCAACAGTAAGTTAATAACATAAATTGTTTCTTGGTTGTTTTTTTCTTTGTGTTTGTACTTCAAGATTGCTGAGCACATTGGAGAGGAGGACCCTCATCCTGGAGATGGTTACAGAGAAGGAGACAGAATCGAAAACATCCTTCCACCAACTCTACCTGTAGCTAGAGAAGAGAAAAAGAAACCTTCCAAGCAGCGGGGTTCTCCCAAAAAGCCACCCCCTGGGAACCAACACCGACCCCGAGGAGCGGTAGGGGGTCGCACCCATGATCAGAGGGGTGTTGATAGGGATGAGGATGAAGAAGGCCAAGAACTTTTCCCGGGTGTCAAGGAAGTGGATGACGACTCAGTACAGCCATTGGAGAGGGACCACGAAGCAGGACAAAGTGGCTTGGGTCCTGCAGTTAGACCAAAGACCAGACCTCCCGGACAAACCTTCCAGCGACCTGCACATGGGAATGATGCCGATACAAGCAGCTCAGACTCGATAGAAACGGTCCAATCAAAACCTAGGCCAAGAGACTTTGGTGATAGTAGACCCTCCAGACAGAAGACTCCAGTAGATAGGACCACGTCCATTGGCGACAGCGATTCCGGTGCTCTGGTCAGCCATCCTTATTCAGAGAAATCAGATGGGGAGTCCCTGATGGGTTCTGTGAGTGGTTCGACCTTTCCAGACCAGGTGGCAAGTGTCTCCTTCTCAAGGGATACCTCTGCAGGAGACCAGGCTTATGCTGCTGATGAGGAAACCACCGCATCATCCAATATACCCACTGGATACACCACACCATCCTCCATAGGTAGTCCAGATGACATCTCGGTCATCAGTCAGTCGCCAGAAAACACCAACAGTGCCACCTACGACTTCATCTCCACCAGCAGCTTTGGTTTAAGCGGTGAGCAGCCTCCAGGGCTAGCACCAGAGGAAGTCAGGGCTGAACAGGTGGAAGAGGATTTTGAAGATGATTTTGTGGTGCTACAGACTGAGAAGTAATGTGCATCCCCCTAGTACAAATCTTGTAATTAAACTTACAGGAGAAATCTACCCAGACAACATGTTGGTTCTAATAAAAGCATAACAATAAGAGACTCATATCAGTGAAAAGGAAATTTGTTAAAAGGTTAAGAGAGTTTTTTTTGATTTGTGATGAATCAAGATAAAGTGGCAAGGCAATGGTTGGCAGTTAGAGTCCGGCCGTGACACTAACGTCCTTCAGCAGGACTGGGCTAATAATATGATACTTTGTATTAAGTGCAGTAGAGTATATTCATGTAGTAGCTGCACGATATAAAGAGACCTATTATTATTGTTATTATTATTATTATTATTATCATAAATCACCTGTTAGTCGGAGGAGTGTGTACATGAACATGGAACATGGAAAAAAAATACTGTTCTGTGTATTACATGATCTGAGACTTGTGCATGAGGCAAGCTGCAATGATGTCGTTCAGAGAAAAATGTAGATGTACATTTAGAAAGGAGCTCCGGTTCTGGTGATGGAAAAACTTTGTCAAATGTAATCTTCGAAAAATTTCCAGCAGTAAAAGAAATGCTTGTTTTGTGAACTGTAAATATAAAGAGCCAAAGAAAACCTGCAGTAAGAAAGAACACTGAAAAGGAAATATACGTGGATGTACATCATGTACTTGAACGACAAGCTGTCTTGTGTACCCCACACATTTTGCTTTACTTTGAGTTGTTTTTGTCTTTTTCTGGGGGGGGGGGGGGGGGGTCAGAGTCACATGGCAGATACAATGTGTCAAAAAACGTCTTTGTCTTGGATTCGGTTTGATTCCTTAAAAAAATGTTTTTCGTCATTGTCAGAATTCTAAACCAGCTAGCAGCTTTCTAAATGCTTTGGTGTGTGTGTTGCAATCGTCGGAGAGTAACCTTTCTGTGGATAATTATCCCATAATCCCATTGACTCGTATTAAGATGAAGGTAAAATAATGTGAAAGCCAAGAGTAGGAATCAATTATGAAAGACATGATTTAAATTCGGAAATGGTATCATTTTATGTTTCATATACATGTGTATTTTATTCGTGAATACTGTAGGAAAAATGTATATATCTTGTTATATATAATCATATATGTAAATAAGAATACTGAAGATGATTACCGTAAAATTCTCAGACAAGAAAAACATGACATTAAATTCGGGGGAAGCAGATCTAATTGCAAGAAGAGCATGTTTTCTGGCCCAAATCTCAAAGAATCTCAAAGCACCTGTAAATTGAATTTCCTTGAGTTTCCTTCCGTGTCTGAACATCGTGATGCCAATAGAAATGCCTTATCTGAAGTACAACTAGATAGTATCGATGCATTGTTTTAATTCTGCATACAGATCTCTTTAAGTGCAATACAACTAAATTTTCAAGAGGGGCCCTGAAGGAATGCTGTGGCTGTGTCATTGTGAAAAAGTAGAGATCACCTTGTGATAAATGTAAAGTAATTGTATAGTATCTTGCTCATTGCAAATGTTTAAAGCCTTAATTTCTGGTGATGCTGCTTAAGGATATATATATATATTCATTCTTATCAAAACCCTGTTTGCCATTGAAATCTTAGCTTAAATAAGATTATTATCAAAATTATTTCATATACAGGATTAATTGATTAATTTCATGTAAAAATATGTTTCAATCTTCAAATATTGTACTACTGAATTGTGGTCAATATGACATGGATTTGGTGTATATTTTCTAGTGATTGTAGCATATTTCTACTTATTGCATATTTGATAACTTCATAGTTTGTAAAAACATACAAGATGTATTTGAGTAATACAAAAAGGTGACTTTTTCAAACATTTTTTTTCTTCCTATGTGCATATATGAGTTGTGTTTTATCGACCTATACGATATACATTCAAATAAGATGATTCACACAAAAACAGAAAATGAACATACATGTTTAGGGAAATGAATATTAAAGGTAAAAGATGTACCAGGCAGCGTTATATACATATATCAGCTCGTTTTTAAAAAAAATATGATTTAAAAATTCTGCTTACTTGCATCTAGCTATCATAGAGCAGTTTGTACTTCATGTATTGTAAAGAAATAAACAATTGATCATACAACTCACTGTTAAATAGTATTTGTGTTCTTGAATCGATGAGTCCTTGAGGAGTTGAGGGATGTTAAGGGAAGGGGAATAACTAAGAAGTGAGGGCTGGGGGTGATCCAACATTGTCTCCAACAGCATTTTTCTCCAGATATATTTGGTCAAATGTATAGGGTTAGAGTTATGTGTGCGTATCAATGTGTATCAGTGTGAAAGAAAATGACAAAAGATAGACCCGGGGGGGGGGGGGTTAAGCACTTCTAGGATGGGGATGAAGAGGACTGCCCGCATCGCTGTATGTCTTTCTTGTTCTCGAATTCAATGTTCCCATCCCACTGTACCTGCATGTACCATGTGTGGACAATACACTGATGCAAATGGCAAATATGAGTTTACCTTTTTTCGGGGGGGGGGGGGGGGGGGGTTCTGTTAAAAAATTATGCTTTTTTGGTATCGAGTATTTTATGTTTGATTACTTCCACCCCCCCCCCCCCCTCCTTCCCATTTTTTGATCTTTCTCTATCTCTCTCTCTCTCTCTCTCTTCGTCTCTCACATTCTCCCTCCCCTCATCATAGGAAGATGATTTTGGGAGTACCGCTACCCCTCTAGGCTTTCTCATTTTTGTTCTCTATTGGGGAGAAGGCAGAATACAAAGATAATCTTCCTATCAATTGGGCTATTTTCCCTTTTCCCACTCCCACCTGCCCTCCCAAACGCTCCATAAGGGAAATGCGAGGTAGGGAGCCTGGACCCCAACCCCTGGGAAGAAGAAAAAAAGTGTTAATGTTACCTTTATTTGGAGACGGGGCCCCATGGTGCTCAAGGGGGTGCGATTTTTTAATTTTCTAGGGGGGGAAAAAATAGTGCTCACTACTACCCCCCCCCCCCCCCCCCCCCCCCCCCCCCCCCCCCCCCCCATTGAGCGATTTGCAAATTTTCAGGGGGGGGGAAGAAACTAAGTGCCTGTTAACTCTGCTTTCAGGACCAGACTGCTCATGATCTATACAGCTGGTCTATATTTTTCAATGTCTCCATTGGTCCATAGGCCCGATCCCACGCATCCGGTACTACATGTAGATGTTTATGATATATCTAAAATTGAATTTCCCACTCATTACTGTTTATGGATTGTTGTATGTGTATGGAAAATCTTTTTATATATTATGCCTGTGCCATTTTGGGAGGATTATTTTTTCTTCAATTTTCTTGACGTACGTGCACTACCCCCCCCCCCCTATTGTTGTGTGTGAACGGGCCTATTATTATGATATACCCTAAAGATATACAATGATGACGTCTACTTACGTATAATGTTTGATTTAATGTTTTGTAGTGCAAGCAGGGGCGTCTCCAAAGAGGGGGGGGGTATTGGGGGTGCGACACCCCACCTGTGAGGATATTGTCGGTAAAATTGCGCTGCCGTCGGTAAAAAAAGAAAAAAGGGGGAGGGGAAAAAAGAGAGGGAAAGGGAAAGAAAAGAAAAGAGTAAAAATCGGTACAACGAATCGTCTTTTTCTCTAATATTTTAATGAAATGCCAAAGCTTATTAAAAAATCCTTCGTACGCCCCTGGTTGTAGGTAAGGATATTGGAAACAAGAAATATTCACTTCTGAATATTATTTTAAATTACTTGCAATATGCAATTTATAAGTGTTACGTTAAGAAGATTGTTAATGGTTCTGTTTACTACCCACATACTTTTTTTTTAATTCAAGTCGTTGCTAAAATTATTTTTAAGATATGAATGTGTTAGGAAAGAAAATTATACTAAGCTGGAAGAATTGTTGAATGTACTTTAATTTTAGCCTATGTTATGTTTCACTCAATCATTAAGTTATTAATGTAAATATGTATTGCTATTATGGAAATAAAAATCTCGCTTGAGGATAAGAGAAATATATATATATATATATATAATGGTGTTTTTCGGGGTGGGTCGTTAGGTTGTCGTACTCATATGCTACATCCCTGATAGCAGAGACTGGTAAATATCACGTCATATTTACGTCTTGTACTACGTCTTTAAGACGACATAACACGACGTCAAAAAGACATGATTTTGCACCCGCGCACGTCGTCACGAGGACGTCATATTTTGACGTGATTTTTACGTCTTATTAGTCAAAGAAAGACGTCTTTAAGACGTCAACTTGTACTATAGGAAGACGTCATATGGACGTCATATTTACGTCTTTTAGTTAAAGAAAGACGTCTTTAAGACGACATAACACGACGTCAAAAAGACTTGATTTTGCACCCGCGCACGTCGTCACGAGGACGTCATATTTTGACGTGATTTTTACGTCTTATTAGTCAAAGAAAGACGTCTTTAAGACGTCAAGTTGTACTATAGGAAGACGTCATATGGACGTCATATTTACGTCTTTTAGTTAAAGAAAGACGTCTTTAAGACGACATAACACGACGTCAAAAAGACTTGATTTTGCACCCGCGCACGTCGTCACGAGGACGTCATATTTTGACGTGATTTTTACGTCTTATTAGTTAAAGAAAGACGTCTTTAAGACGTCAACATGTACCATAGTAAGACGTCGTATGGACGTCATATTTTGTCGTGATTTTAACGTCTTATTAGTCAAAGAAAGACGTCTTTAAGACGTCAACTTGTACCATATAAAGACGTTGTATGGACGTCATATTTTCTTTTTAGGTCTTATTGGTTAAATAAAGACGTCTTTAAGACGTCAACTTTCACCCAAGAAAGACCTGTATACGTTGTATGGACATCAAATTTTGACGTGATATTTACACCTTACTGGTCATTTCGATGTACCTTTTATCCTTACATGATCTTTACGTCTTTGTTGTCCTCTAAATAACATCTATACGACCACCTGATCAAGGAAGAAAGTGTAAAAGTCACTTCATGTACACATTCTGAACAATCACACAGTAAAATCAAAGCAACAAATATTGCATCACATAATATATATATACATGCCAAACAGAAAGTAATTTTCATATTTTTAATGTACACGTATATGGTATGAAAATGGATAACAAAAATATAAAATACGTATTTCTATACCTTCTTATTCTATCTAACTTTGTTTTCCATTGGTACAAAATCTTTTCATCACTATCCTGACACTTCTTCCAAAACATGCTGTATAAATACCTAGTGTATTTCTGTCAGTCTCATAATTTATTTTAAGAAAGTTAACAGGCCATCACAAAGATATCTGTTTCGTTATAAATTGTGCTACAAGAAACTATGACATATTGGCTAAACTTATAAGTCTTACGGTTGTGGGAAGCAGGTTAGCAGCATAGAGACTAGGTAAAGCTATACTGATACCCGCAGTATTTTAGTAGACAAGCAAACAGCACACTGGGGAAGTTCCTCATATTCAGCAAAACAGCATAGTGGAAAGCTAGGCATTCATCAGTGCAGCTCTACCTCGTCTCCATGCTGCAAAACCGCTCCTGACAACCCCAAGATTTTAATGCAGATAAAGACTATCACATAAAACAAAAGGTTGTTGGAAAGAATTTCTGAGCATGAGATCAATTCTTGTTACATACAAGGGGAATATCTAAGTTCATGGCAAGAATTCAGTATAAAGTATAAAACTATACAATCTAAATCACACACAGGAGAAAAATGGCACAAATGATAAACACATGGCTTAGCTAAGTTATTTCTTACACTCAAAACGAACAAGTTGGCAGCAAGGGGAACAGGGAGAGCTTCACTGATACCTGCAGAGTTTTCTGATGATGGTTGCTTGCCCGTCAAAACCATGATGTTCACATTTGGCGATACAGCATATTAGAAAACTGTGCAGAAATCAGCTCAACTGTACCTATTCTCTGTGCTAGAAACCTGCTTCTTACGGGCACATGACTTAAATATAAGAAAAGGCATTAGTGGCAACATTCATCTTTATAAATATCAAAAAATTAGTTTTGTTGCAAATACAGAAGCTGAAGTTCAAGTATAAAATACAATTTATATCAGATAACATTCCCGCCAGTACGATTGGCTCAGTTGGGCAATTCCAAGGTGACGGTGGAATAATTATTCAGAAGGTATTTCCCAGTTTAAGATAAAATAGCAAACATGCTGAAAAAGTTTAGCACAAAGAGATATATTCCATTGCTAATGTCACAACATTCATTTGGCAAGTCCCAGGAGTTTCACAAAAGAATTAAAATTTAACTTAAATTTTAACAGCAAATTCAATATACATGTAGGTAAGCCATATTGTGCTTTCAAAATCACAGATACAATCCAAGAATTTTATACTTTTAACTACCAATTTTTTTTCAAACCACAAGGTATTTATGGTTTTCATTGAAGGCGCTACTGTGTGTCACTCTTTAACAGTTAATTCTCCCAACAAAATTTTCAATTTTCCCCAACCGTTTTTCCATGAAAATAAGATATAAAACAGGCCTTTAAAAATCTTTCAACGCCTAAATTTGGAAAAGGTATTGGAGCTAATTCGTTGCTTTGTGATGATTTACACTCACTTCAATTTAATCAAATTATAAAAATATAGTTGGGAGAATTAAGGAATGGATTAGATCAGTTTTCCCAATTTTAATCATCAATAGTGGTCTATTTTTAACTCAAATGTTCAGATTATCTTTAAGTGTACATACAGTATAGCATTGAAGTCAATACCTTAGCATCATTTTCTCTCATATGAACAATGTTACCAAGTCCCTTTAAGGCTCGTTCAGATATGATGCTGCAAAACAAAATCTCAGAGTTTTTTTAATGTTGACATAGAGTTCAATATGCTTTACATTTCTGTATATTATTTTTAAAAAAAAGCTCACTGAATATGCGCAGTCCAAAACATACAAAGACTTGTTGCCATTCGCTTTACACATAAAACCAAACTGCATCATTTTCGAAAATTGTTGGCGGTTCACGTTCCGTATCTGAACAAGTCTTAGTTGCTTAATAATGGAATCGATTTGTATTGTATTTAACTCACTCAATTTTTCTCTATTACCAACTTATATATAATTTGCAACAGGTTTTAAGAACTGATAAGAAGCGGATGGGGGGTGGGGGTGAGCATGAGACTGAGCATATCAAGTCTACTACATTTAAGCATTATGAAACAGGTCAACCTCATAAATAGTAATTACAAATATATGCAAAATACTGGAATCTTTTACTCAAACTGTTATTATGTCAGTTCGTACACCCTGTAATTCATTAAAATTGTAAGTGACATGAATGGGAATTTCAGTTCCACAGCTTAGCCATTCAGGTTTGTGGCTACACCTCACCTCTCCCCCTCCCCCAATCTCTCTCTATAAATTATAATGAAGTGAAAAAAAAACCTTTTTTCTAGCAGTTTAACTATCGGGTGAGTGTAGATCTACATGTAATTTTGGACATATTCCTCTTCAGCTTGGACTCATGGGTTAGCTTTTGGGTGGAATCTCTGGCATTATGCACTGCTTTCAGATCCAGGGAACATAGACGCAAGGAATTCTAGTGCATGAATAAAGCAAAAAGAAAGGAATACAATTTGAAAACTGGAACGTAAACAATGAATTAAATAATGAATTATGTCAGAAAAGTACTGCTTGGTAAGATTTATCAGAAATAATTTCTTATTGCTCACAAACATAAAGTCAACACACCTTTGGATTTTAAACATTTGTGGGCAATGCAAAACGTGATTCAGGATTTTGTTTGGTAAATTATCAATACAATTGTAGTTTGCTGATGAGGGCCATGACTCACCAATCGGATTAGTGGAGCCATCGATTTGGAAATATTCCTCTTCAGCTTGGACTCATGGGTTAGCTTTTGGGTGGAATCTCTGGCATTATGCTTTGCTTTCAGATCCAGAAAACATAGACGCAAGGAATTCTAGTGCATGAATAAAGCAAAAAGAAAGGAATACAATTTAAGACAAACTTTTATATATTTTAAAACTGGAACGTAAACAATGAATTAAATAATGAATTATGTCAGAAAAGTACTGCTTGGTAAGTTTTATCAGAAATAATTTCTCATTGCTCACAAACATAAAGTCAACACACCTTTGGATTTTAAACATTTGTGGGCAATGCAAAACGTGATTCAGGATTTTGTTTGGTAAATTATCAATACAATTGTAGTTTCAGGGATGCCAGTTAGAATTGATCAGAGGGCCTGAAAAATCACCTAGAATGTGCTAGCTTGTACACAAAAAACCTAAACTATGGTATGAAAATAACTTGCCAGGGCCTGAATTCAGGCTATTGCCTGAAAACTGGCATTCCTGTAGTTTGCTGATGAGGGTAGAATGAAAGCTCCTTGACCTATGCTGAAGGGTAAAAAAACACTGTTTGAAACTCACATAATATTGTCGGTTATTGTACCTGCAGGTTTTAGTGATCTAAAATTAATTGAATTATAAATATATTTGAAACTCATGACAAATAACTGAAATAAGCCTTTCAAATGAAATGAACCATTATGTAGTGTCTAATTGGTCAGTGTCTCAGTGATCATGCACAATATGACAAATAAATGTACAGAAATAATACAAGTACATGTACACATTTACCGATAATGGCTTCAACTGTTTCAAGAGGCTGCTGATCCTTAGGGAAGTAGGGAACATCCACAAGGTTGAGAGAGAGTAGCATTTTCTGCATGGTTTCACATCAATATACTGAGGCCACAATGTGCTTTGAATCCACTTCTTTGACGAAAGATGTTAAAAAAGGATGCCTACAAATAAATGAGAAAATGAATAAAGAACAAAATGAATGGTTGATAATGTATGCATGTGCAACACATATACTACAAACTTCTTTGAACAGCCTGTGGGGAAAGAATTTTGTTTACCATTTACAGGTCTAACCGATTATTTCCAGATAAAGATTTCTGTATACGCGGTAGCCTATAAGATAAATTTGATGTCTAAAGACTATAGAAACGACTTGTTTAAGGTTACATGTTTGTGACACAAGTCACTGCTTTATTCCTCTACGTATCGACACGTAATGCTCAATTTCCAGACATCTGGGCCCGGGCCGGTAGTACACTTTCTCACAGGTTTCACTTTCACTGCAAACCGCTGCACATTACAAGTGCATACCGATGGTGGTTGCGGGCGGACGCACGCCTGTGTGAAGTTATCTACCGTACAATGAGGAGGTAGATCACTTCACGCAGACTTACGTGCCCCCGCAACCCTCCATCTGTATGCACTTGTATTGTGCAGCGGTTTGCCATGCAACCTGTGAGAAAGTGTATACTACTATCAATGTTTTTCCGAAAAAATACTCCCCCCAAAATAAGAAAATTGACCAGAAACAGGTTAGAAACATAACGACTTTTAAATCATGACCGGCATTATTTGAACATTTCATGAATATTTGCTTGATTTGAGGTAGGCCTAGACCGAATTTTCCTTCTCTTTCGTTCGTTAGCCTCTTATTGGGGTAGGGTCGGCCGGCTCTCTCTTTAGAGACGGAAACCGTCTATACACATTCCCTTGATAACGCCACGGCCATTTCAGGTCGTAGGGTTATGCCCCCAAAATCCCCCAAAATGTCATTTTACCTCGTCCATATCCAATTGTAAATTAGGCCTAGGCTATAATACATCGGTTCCACTTACTAACTTGATTGAAATAATCCGTTTAATGGTCCCTTTTAAGGAAATTATGGGTCAAAATCGACATCCATGTTGAAAATCTTGCAAGCCGTGTTAAACTCTCGCTGCCGGAGTCATCTAAATCAATCTCATCCTTTCTAGTCTACGCCGAAGGCAAAATGATTATGAAGGAAAAACTGTGCGCCATCTACACGTTCGTAATGGCGTTAATTTACATCTGATTTAGAAATCAGGAAATTAGATCTAAACAAAGAAAATCGGGGAGAAAATGTCGTGGACGAAAATATGTACATAGGCTCATAGCCACCCCCACGGTACGAGATCTCTGGGTTGCCATCTGTATTGGGGAATGACAACAAATGTCAGTTTTATTAAAGAAATGACCCAAATCAGATGGTTATTGCTGTCTAATCTAGACGAGTCTACCTAGATCTAACTGTTAGTGCCAAAGCTTTCATCAGTTTGCTTCTCTTATTTTTCTGCTTTCTTTTAGTTTTAGTCTTTTAGAGCAGTTGTATATTTGAGTTAGATTTCCCTTTAAAGCCATGCAGCCCATGTGTAGGCAAATGAGTAAACTGTTTTGCTTTAAATGATGCCCCATGCCATGCATACCTTCAATCAAGACCCTACATAAAAATACATATATGGTATCATACATTCCAAATCTTGTCACCAAGTGTTGAAAGTCCGAGCTCACTATCACTGACATTATAGTGACATAAGATCATACATTGAGTCTACATATCAACTTTTCAGAACAAAAAACAGTAACTATAGATTTATGTACTTTTTGTAAATAAATTAGGTAATTCTAGGACTTACCCATACTGTAAATTTGCAGGAGAAAACGAGAGTATTCAGGAGGATGATACTTGATGCAACGGCTTTTTTACTCTGAATTCAAATACATTACATACACATCGCATAGTGCATGTAGTCCTACGCCTTGCATGCCTTGAGTACTATGCATCTGTACACACACGTACACACTCCCGTTTGAACTAGATGCGAGCATGTTCAGTCTTGATCGATATTGCAGACCTTGGTGCGTGTTAAGATGTTGCACAATCTATAATGACATGACTAATGACATTTGAGGGGGGGGGGGGGGGGAGTTGTTCCCTAATTTCAATTCTGATAATTGCCCTATTTACTTTGACTTATGCTCATATTAGATGTTGTAGTCTTTACCCGATTATTATCTTGGAAATGATTAGGTTATTAGAGACGTCATAATGACGTCGTTATAACGTCGTCCTTACGACAAAAAATATCTTGGAAAAATAGTCTTTAAAAGAGGTCATAATGACGTCGTAATGACGTCGTCAATACGACAAAAAATATATTGGAAAAAATAGTCTTTTAAAGACGTCGTAATGACGTCGTCGATACGACAACAAGTATCTTGGAAAAAATAGTATTTTAAAGAGGTCATAATGACGTCGTAATGACGTCGTCAATACGACAAAAATTACATTGGAAAAAATTAGTCTTTTAAAGACGTCATAATGACGTCGTTATCACGTCGTCAATACGACAACATTACATTGGAAAAATAAGTCTTTTAAAGTCGTCATAATGACGTCGTTAGCACGTCGTCAATACGACAACATTACATTGGAAAAATAAGTCTTTTAAAGTCGTCATAATGACGTCGTTAGCACGTCGTCAATACGACAACATTACATTGGAAAAATTAGTCTTTTAAAGACGTCATAATGACGTCGTCGATACGACAAAAATTAGCTTGGAAAAAATAGTCTTTTAAAGACGTCATAATGACGTCGTTATCACGTCGTCAATACGACAACATTACATTGGAAAAATAAGTCTTTTAAAGTCGTCATAATGACGTCGTTAGCACGTCGTCAATACGACAACATTACATTGGAAAAATTAGTCTTTTAAAGACGTCATAATGACGTCGTTATCACGTCGTCAATACGACAACATTACATTGGAAAAATAAGTCTTTTAAAGTCGTCATAATGACGTCGTTAGCACGTCGTCAATACGACAACATTACATTGGAAAAATAAGTCTTTTAAAGTCGTCATAATGACGTCGTTAGCACGTCGTCAATACGACAACATTACATTGGAAAAATTAGTCTTTTAAAGACGTCATAATGACGTCGTCGATACGACAAAAATTAGCTTGGAGAAAAATAGTCTTTTAAAGACGTCATAATGACGTCGTTATCACGTCGTCAATACGACAACATTACATTGGAAAAATAAGTCTTTTAAAGTCGTCATAATGACGTCGTTAGCACGTCGTCAATACGACAACATTACATTGGAAAAATTAGTCTTTTAAAGACGTCATAATGACGTCGTCGATACGACAAAAATTAGCTTGGAAAAAATAGTCTTTTAAAGACGTCAAAATGACGTCTTTATGACGTCGTTAATACGACAAAAATTATCTTGGAAAAAATAGTCTTTTAAAGACGTCATAATGACGTCGTCGAGAAGACAAAAATTATCTTGAAAAAATTAGTCCTTTAAAGACGTCATTATGACGTCGTTATCACGTCGTTAATACGACAAAAATTAGCTTGGAAAAATAGTCTTTTAAAGACGTCAAAATGACGTCAAAATGACGTCGTTAATACGACAAAAATTATCTTGGAAAAAAGAGTCTTTTAAAGACGTCATTATGACGTCGTCGAGAAGACAAAAAATATCTTGAAAAAATTAGTCCTTTAAAGACGTCATTATGACGTCGTTATGACGTCGTCAATGCGACAAAAATTATCTTGGAAAAAATAGTCTTTTGAAGACGTCATAATGACGTCATAATTACGTCGTCCATACGACGTACGACGTGTTTACCACTTTACGACCAATTTATGACGTCTTTAAGACGTCAGTCTGCTATCAGGGATGTGCCTTGCTTAAATTTATTTATAATAAATATTTTACTTTAGGGGTGGAGAACTTGTATAAATGCATCGGGCGGGATTGAGCCCTCCAATCCCTGCAAACCTAGAATGGAACAACCCTTTTCCAATTTAAAGAATATTTTAAGTCTACTCTACAACTGATTTAATTGTAATAGGTTTAAAGCTGAGCAGTACTCGGTACTTATTCGTCATGATTTTCAACAGCGCCATCAAAGTTGTGAGGAATTATGAATATGTCATGTATGTCCTATCTGTGAAATTTAAACGTTAGCAGTGTCCTCATATTCAAATTATGCAAGGAAACCCGTTTACTTGCTAGACTTCACTGTCAGACACTATTGAGTGACTGACTGGCTTTTTTCCTTCTTTGGTAATAACATACATGAAAAGAGTTGTAAAGGATACATGAGCGTTTGTCTACATCAATAACCCACTTCTTGTGATGGCCAAGATTAAACTGATTGAATCTTTGCGCAGCATAAAACGTATGACCATTCGGTACAATTATTGTCTGAAAATCAAGACTATTAGTTTTGGGCTCTATAGCCCTAAAGTCGTTTTGACAACTAATAGTCGTTATTTTCCACTTGAAGACATTTTCAAGCCCCACCTTTTTTAGGGAAGTTCTAAATTAGTATTATCTTTCAAATGCAGTTGGAATTTAACTTTTTCATTTTTTGGGCCTGCAAATGGGACATAGTACCTTTAAGGCAATATCGTTTTATTAATTATTATAAACAAATATGTGATCCAACTACTGGGTTTTAAACAAAAGAATGAAAATAATGAGAGATAACATCATGAATGGGAAATTATTGTCAAGTGTGCGCGCGAGTGTTTGTAGGATGTGTGTGTATAAGTGTGTGTTTTGGTATGTGTGCAAATAAGTTGAGAGTGAGAACAGATAGAGAGAGAGAGTGTGTGTGCGTGTGTGTGTGTGTGTGCGTGCGTGTGTGTGTGTGTGTGTGTGTGTGTGTGTGTGTGTGTGTGTGAGTGCGTGAGAGAGAGAGAGAGATATGAATGGATAGAGGCGGCGAGAGAGGCAGTGAGAAAGGGGGAAGAGATAGGGATGGCGGTGTGGCAGGGGAAATAAAAATACCAACAGGGAGAGAGAGAGAGAGAGAGAGAGAGAGAGAGAGAGAGAGAGAGAGAGGAAGAGAAAAGAAGGAGAAGAATAAAGAGAGAATCATGAGTAAATTTTCAGGTATGAATATAAATGTGAATATAAAACTAGAATAGGAGCAGCATCAAAGAAATATTATGAAGCTGTAATACCCAAAAGGGAATAGCTAAAGGAGCCTTGAATCCCAAATGAACGTCTACACAATACCATTTTCTTTTCTTTTCTTATTTGAAGGAAGTTGTCTTATAAAATACATCCATGCCTCCTAAACCAAACTGTGTCCTCTGAATTGCATTACACTCGACTGATCGGTATCATGGCTCATGCACACTCTTGGGGAAGCAGGGAGACAGAAAAGACCCACATCGAAATTAATCTCAAAAGAAAATCACTCTTTGGTTGGTTTGCGCGGATATACATACAAACAGACACCAAAAATAAGTTGAAAAGATTTATGTGATTGTGACCATAACTCCCCTTTACTTGAAAGTCGTCTTGGTTTTATGGCCTTGAAGTCAGAAATGTTGGCGACCCATTCACCTGAGTATGATCTGGGGAAGGAAAATATTGTTTACTAACAACAAACTTCTCTTATTGACAAAAGAAAGTTGTCGGGTTAAGCCACCAGAGACTGAGTTCCCGAAACAGACTCCACAGTTCGGCCGATTTTACCCCATCTTGCCCATGCCCCAAACTGCGTCAGTAAGAACCATTATGACTTGACATTACAAAACACACAATTGACCTGTATATCAATAAGTTGTTCACTGTGACTTATTCCACCATCTCCTTTACAACGGAAGCCACAATTTTGAAGACATTTTTGTTCAACAGAAGGCTGTTGAAACTATAATTAGTAGTAGAAGTAGTAGTAGTACATTTTTGAAGTAGCAGCAGCAGTAGTAGAAGTAGTAGTAGTACATTTTTTAAGTAGCAGCAGCAGTAGTAGAAGTAGTAGTAGTAGTAATAGTAGTAGTAGTAGTAGTAGTAGTAGTAGTAGTAGTAGTAGTAGTAGTAGACAGTAGTAGTAGTATTAGTAGAAATATAGTTGTTAAAGTAATAATAGTCGCACCATTAACAAATTGATATCTAATCATTATATTATCATCATGATAATGATAAATTATTTTCTTTAGTAAGAAAAAAAATGGGTGTTATGCAATGTTGTACCGTGTGACTTGCAGAAGACCTTTTAACTTGTAAAACATAAAGTAACCTTAAACATTCTTTTCTCTTTGGATTGGAATTCAAAAGGAACTATGTTCGATTTTATTACACTTTTCATATCAATTCTTCCCCTGTTCCGGGTTCAACTTATTTTGGTATAGAGCTGCCCCTGATTAGAAGTAAGTTTTCTCACGCCTTCTACTACACTTCCTTACAAAACAATCAATTGCAACTCTGCATTTTTGTTGGCTCATAAGGTATCTTCACTTGAGTGAATAATCAATCAGTATGTGGTCCTTGCGATTAAGCTTTTTACAAATAACAAGGTCCTTGATGTCATTAGCGAATACATAACAATGACTTTGGGAAGGAAAGAGTTAGTCGACTGAAGATGGAAATTATGGTTTCATGTCGAGACGCCACAATGTGGTTTATTTGAGAAAACGAGCAGGGTAAAAAATAAATCAAAACAACGGCATAATTACAAGAGCTTATCAATACATGCATGCTGTGCTTTTAAGCTTCGAGAGTCCGAAAAAACGCCTTTCAAGAAGCCAGCTTGATTCCAAGAGCACACAAGAAGTATTTAATGAACTGTACAAATGAAACGAAAACACAAGTACGGTGTTTAACAAAGGCGTGTTCATTCAATAAACTCTTTACGTTCACAGAATAGTTTACATTCCCAATTATGACCCCCGTTTCATACGCAAGCTACTCATTTGCTTTTAACTGCTTTCTAATGCAAAATATTGTAACAGCAAATGTAAAATTTTCACAAACAATTTGTTTTATTATTTTCCTTGTTTACAAACACAATTCATACATTTTTATTCATTTATTCATACATATTTATACAGGTACACAAGATCAGAAATAAAAAAACATTTATATACCATTCCTTTCTTCTAGATTAAGATTATTATTATCGTAAACACTTCTTTATGTTTGCTTTCATATCTAAGTCATTTTAATTGCATTGAATATGGTTACACTCCAATTTAAAGAGAAAATTATATTTTTATGACATTATATACAGTGCCTATAAATATATTCGTTGGCAAATGATTGTGAAAAAACGAAAAATTCTTTGTCTGAGGAAGTTATATTACTGTATTATCATTCATATCGATAGGGTTATGTGTGTGTGAGTGATTACGCATGTGGGAGTGTGTGGGTGTGTGTGATAGAGATATAAGATGGGAGATGGTTCTATATTTGTTGTTGAATACTACAAGCATGAAATTACGACGTTTTTCCTTTTTTTTTACTATACTAACACACTAAAACACTGCGCACACACACACACACACACACACACACACATTTGTGTGCGCACACACGTGTACTTTTTCTTCTTTTTGCGAATTAAAAGGATTAAATGTAAAGACCAGTATTGGAAACGCCCCAATTTCAAAAAATGAAATGGAAGCTCTCATTACCAATCATGTGAAAGAATATGTTTTGACTAATACATGATGATAAAAAATTTGCCGGGAAACCGCCTACTAATTCATATATTTGGTAAATTTGTTTCTCTCATGGTCTGTGAGAGATATAGGGTAGTCCCATATACAACTTTCTGTGTATAGTGCTTGTAACTTTACGAAGAATGGGCCAAATTTCTTATCATTTTGATGATTCCAGAACCTTGCAGATGCTAGATGCTAGATGATCAACCTTTTCTGATCGATTCCACAAGGTTTCTTTCACAATGCAATCGCATGACCATAACTGGTCTTTACCTTTAAAGTTCTTCGTGAAAAAACGAAGAATTTGTGCCCTCGAATCAAATTGACATAAGCAATGGATATAATCAAGTTCTCCACTGAAAGGGATATTGTTCTGTGCCCAGAGTAATTGGGTCTTAACTAATCCAAAACAGTTCTATATATTATTTACCTTGACTGAATTGCAGCGTAATGAACTAACTCTCTCGTAAGATATTTTTACTTTCAGTTTTCTCATTTATCATTAAATTTTTACCTTATTGATAAGTTCATAAACACTAATCCCGCTTTACATAATTTTGTATCTTCTTCCAATTCTTGACCTAGAATATATACCGCTTCGTCACGGCGTCTATTCTGAGGTCTTCCCAAAGTCTGTGTTTGTCATGCTCAGAAATCTGAATATGCCATTAGATATTATAATATGTTTTATTAATATTTTCCTCGTGAAACTTGACCTAGAATAAAAGGCCTCGTCATGGAGACTCTTTTTGGTACCAATTTGTACCGGCCCGGTGCCGGACGGTGTCGCCCTCGCATATTATATAATACAAGTACTTTGATAAGCATACAGCGGACAGCTAACACAAACAAAGAAATTCTTTCTTTCTCTATCTCATGGACACACAATCACTACGTCGGTGTGTGCGTAATTTCGCTCTCTCTCTCTCTCTCTCTTTCTCCCGTCCTCTCTCTCTCTCTCTCTCTCTCTCTCGTGCTCACACTTTTGCTCTTGATCGAGCCGAGTTGAGTATCGGTGATCAATAGAACTGAATTAAAAACCTTCTCTCATTGTTGCGCGCCGTCAGTGAACGAGTCGCACGCATTTAAACAGAGATCTTCGCAATCGCCACAATTTATTTACAGCTTCTAATGTGAAAGAGCCATATTCCTTAGTCTAAACTTCTCTTAAAGGTGATAACGAATTATTGGTATTGGTTGCTGGTCGCTCCATCTGAGCTCAAACGGTGTCAGACGACACTGCCATTGATAACACTTTCATCATTGCAACTCGTTGAGGACATCATTATACTTGTTATTAAGCGGCATCATCTCTTTCCCCGGGATTTCGTAGAGACAGTTTGTCTGGATTCATCCTGTCAACACTATCATCATGTTAAGTTTGAGATTGGTTTTAGGGGCGTGCCTGGTTAGCATCTGCGCCGCCCATGTTAGACTGACTTTCCCTCAAGCGAGGACCTTCGCTCTGGACTTTCTGGACAACGTCCGTACCAGTGGCCCTTGTGGCATGGAACCAAGTAAGTCACCAATAAAGTATAAGTATACAACTATAACTACAAGTATAAGCATAAGCAGGAGTATAAATATAAGTATAAGTATGAGCAGGAGTATAAATATAAGTATAAGTATGAGCAGGAGTATAAATATAAGTATAAGCAAAGAGATTCGATCATACACGTATGTCCTCCGTAGGAGGACTAGAGGGCCAACTAAAATCTTGACCTTTGACATTTCATAGGTTTTGCATTGGATGCATTATGGGGGTTTTGTCCGATTTGAACGACGGTTTTGGAGGGTCAATGAATATTCATGAGCAATGACGTAAAAAATACGCCAATTACTGTTTGTTGATTGGCCATCGACAAAATGTTTTATGTATTAGGTCATGCATAAAACATTTTTTGCATTCCCAGAATTCCCTACGATTTGAGCAAGAAAATGACGAAAATGGCGGTTGTATGAACTGCGACTTTGAAATTTTTCAATTACGAACAAGGACACACTTTTCTTTTAAGTGAATTTCTATTATAATAGAAGTTTGTCAAGTACATCTCAGTGAAGCAGAAAATCTTCAGGCGAACATTGACATCGGAGTGATACCCTATGATATCAAGAAAAGTAAGTAAAGATCCATTTTGTGTGAAGGTCTCTGAAATAATTGTGATGTGTTCGTCATTGCAGTGAGGGGCTCTCCGCATTGTCACAACGTATTATTCCCTATCCCATCCCTTTCTTTTGTCTTACCAAAGAATATTAACTGATTGAATTAACTCTAATTTAAGTCGTCGACGGTAATATTTTTTAGAAATAATCAGGAGTTTACCGTAGGTTATTTCATTACAGCACATCTCATAATTTTAAGTTAGGTTCACAGCTTGATTACCGATAGTAATCAATGGTAGATGTAGACCTGTTGTAGACTGCGCAAATGGCTCATTGCTAGTCCAAGCCGATGCGATTTCGTCGAGCGGTTTATGATTTTCAATTCGCCGGTGCTAGCCGGCTGTAACACTCCACCAAGAAGCGACTGCGTTTCCTGAGCTGGCGCGGCTATAACTTTACAGTGTAGGCTACACTTTAGTCTTACTGTAAAGCCTAGGCTAGTATTCATAGCACAATCTAGTCTGAATTTTCTGTCTCTTTCGTTCGTTAGCCTCTGATTTGGGTAGAGTCGGCTCCTCTCTTTAGCCAACCCTACCCAAATCAGAGGCTAACGAACGAAAGAGACAGAAAATTCAGGCTAATTAAGGCATAGACTAGGCCCTGGCCTAGGCTAGGGTCTAGTCTAGATCTAGACCGAATTTTCCGTCTCTTTCGTTCGTTAGCCTCTTATTGGGGTAGGGTCGGCTCTCGAGAGCCGACCCTACCCCAATAAGAGGCTAACGAACGAAAGAGACGGAAAATTCGGTCTAGTCTAGATCTAGTCATGCTAGTGTGGCATTATGTATCCAGGTCCAGCTTAGTTCGGATGTAGGCTAGATAGACTAGACAAGAACAAAACAAAAAGGGTGTCACTTCCTAGCTTCCTAATTTTACCCCCACCCCCACCCCCACCACTCTTTTTTCTTGATTGTGCTCTAGATCTAGATCTAACTTCTAAGTTATGGCACTGTGACTTGTTTGAAATATTTAGAGGAAAATGACATGTTTAGACTTTAGAGAGAAAATAGGTTTATATTATTTGCGTATTACTAATGTCCGAATATTTACCTTGTTTACAGTAAAGTTTCAGGACTATATGCTACCCCCTTTTTATTTGGTATGGCATGGGTATTTCTAACTCTAGTTTAAAGGACATGAACTGATAACTAATGCAAGCATTTGATACTATTACTTGCACAAACCTTACTAAGTTTCTGTTTTCTTTTAATTGTAGATCCTATGGAACCAAGAAGCAGATAATGACCACAGAGGTGCAACAGAGACTACCAGTACCTGATCATCGTATGTTATGGTGTAGATCTCAGGAACAGGACACCTAAGTTGAACTCTGGCAAGGTATGTTTGTATAAAGTTCGAACATATTTAGGCTGTATAATCTAAGGCTAAGCCCATGCCAACATCGCACTCATTTTGGACTAATAGATAATAACTTAAAATAAATTGGAAATACATCTAAACCTTTACTCTTCTCTTCAAAAAAGGCCCTATCAGATAGACATAAGTTTATCATTTTTTAATAAAATTAAAATGCAAGACCTACAAAAAGTGGGGAGGTACTATTTTTGAAAATCCAATATAATGCAGCAGTTTTAATCTTATTTGATTTCTCCTCTCTTTTTGTTTTTAATATGCAGGTTGTCCCAAGCTGCATGGTTTGATACCCAGGCTTCTTTTGTACAAGTCCCTAGTCCACCCTCATCTTGAGATCTGTTCCGGTGTCTGGGATCCCTACAACATCTAAGATGTCCAGGACGCTACTTCACAATGGGGACCACAAGAGAACCAGCAGTTTGACTGAGATGATCAGCACCTTTTAGTTGCCTACTATATCTACAACTACAAGGCACTCTGCAAGAAGACTGGGAATGGTGCATAAGATAGTCAATGGTCTCTCCGCTCTCCCTTGAAAATTTTCCCACTGCACTACTTATAGCTACTTGCGCCCTCTATATAGCAAACAATGCCTAATCGGTGACTGTTGGTCCCCCATGATCCCCTTTTTCTTATATTAATTGAGAGCTGATATGATGAGATAACCACCTGTCAGTGACCTTGCAAGGTGGTCTAATCCCCCTGGTCAAACTAGTACAGACGGGCTTTAACAAATCACGAGCAGGAAGTACCATGACATGACCCTCCAGTTGCACCAAGCCAGAAGCGACATAGACAAGTTTGTATTTGCCCAACACTCTGTCCCAAAGTTAATGGAACTGACTTCCAGCAAATAAGTGCATGATGACAGTCCAGAGAACTTCCAGGGACTACTTCTGATGCATCTACTCTCCTTATCCCACTTAGAAACATTCTGTCTTCCTCACACCACTTGTAATCGTTAGGCTACAACGCCTTTTGAAGATTACCAGAAGAAGAAGAAGAAGAAGATATATCGAGGATCATGAAAGTAATCATTTGTTCTTTTAAATGTGTGAACATGTAACATAGTTTTTTAATATTTAATCTTAAGTCAAGTTCTGACAAAAATATAGGGATGCTGAACTGAATAGTAAATTGAAGGGGGGGGGGGAATAAAATGATGTAGTTCATTAGTAATACTGTAGTAATATAATTAATAACATTAATAATAATAACAATATTAAAAATAGTAACAATAACGACAATGATCATGATAATACCAGTAATAATAATGATAATACAGGTACCAGTAGTAGTAAAAACAACAACAATAATGTCCTATGTAAGATAAAGTACTAATATAAAACTCAGTATATACCTGTGCTTTACATAATAATTTTGAATATTTTGTTCAAAATCTACTGTAAACTTTTACAACTGAAAAATTTGAATTCAAGAGACAGCACCCCCCCCCCCCCTCCCCATCCATTTGTCATCCTTTTTTTGATGTCATGTTGGATTTAAAAAGATCTTAATAGAAACAAATATGTTGATAAATGAGTTCATAAAAGTTAATAAATTAGTTAATACTGCTTAAATCTGTTCTTTTCATTTTCTTATTTTGTGAAATATATGTGACGATGCTGGTGATTATGATGATGTAGGCACTCTGTAATGATGATGCTGTATGACTGAGGTGAGATGGGGGCTGATACAGTCTTGTGTAGAATTGAGTATGGTGTTCGACCTTTTGATGTTTGTTTATATCTGGCATCAGCGAGATAGATTTAACCATCTTTCCTAATGAGAGAGAGAGTGGGCAAGACTAATGTATAAATGCAGTATAAAAAATGGTTTACAATAAAGATGAGGTGGGGGGGGGGGGGGGGGGGTTAAATAAAGAATAAGTCGATGCCAAAATGATGAAAGCATAGGTAATTGGGGTGGGGATTGGGGGGGGGGGAGGGTAATAGATCCTATGGAAATGTCAATATCAGAAGGGGTCCTTGTATTGAAAATGATACTGTTGGGGGGGGGGCAAATTTAAAAAAAAAATCAGAGGCGACGAATGCAAGAACGAAAAGAACGAGACAAAATTGAAATTTAATTGGGGATGGGGCACAATATGAAGATCATTGAAGTCGAGGTGAGAATGATTCATTATTTAGACACTAAAGATATGAAAATATCACTTGTTAAGTGGGCTAAATGATCAGTGCAATTTGTCTGATTTAAAAAATATTAGTAAGTTAAAGTTAATAAATGAACAAAAAAAAAAGAGGCAAAAAATGAATTGAGGTACCACAGTGAAATGGGGTCATTATTTTTGCCTTTTAACTGAACTGAATTTTTTAAAATGTACTTGTGGCCCCAACGAAGTGAACCATTTAAAATTAGATTACCCCCCCCCCCCCCCCCCCCCCCCCCCCCGTCCCCACACACACACACCTCCCCAACTCTGACCTTTGTTCTACATTTTATCTGGCCCAATTAAGGATTCTGTCGATATAACAACGCATGCGCATTGTCTTTTTTTCATTGCGATAATATGCTAATAGGTGGAAAAGAGCTCATGAATATTCCAAATTTTAATTTAAATATTTTGCGCGCTGCGCGCAGTCCAAAATCCCCATTTCGCTGGTGCACTAAAAATTTGTCGTCTTCATAGGCTAATACATGAAAAGTGGAAGCAGTGTGCACTTTTGACCCTCCAAAATTTCCCCATGGCTAGACGGATGCAGAAGCGGAGTTGAACCCCCCTGAGTATAAGTATGAGCAGGAGTTAAATATAAGTATAAGTATGAGCAGGAGTATAAATATAAGTATAAGCAGGATATAAATATAAGAATAAGTATAAGCAGGAGTATAAATAAGTATAAGTATGAGCAGGAGTATAAATATAAGTATAAGTATGAGCAGGAGTATAAATAAGTATAAGTATGAGCAGGAGTATAAATAAGTATAAGTATAAGCAGGAGTATAAATAAGTATAAGTATGAGCAGGAGTATAAATATAAGTATAAGCTGGATATAAATAAGTGTAAGAAGGAGAATAAATACCAGTATAATTAGAAGCAGGAGTATAAGTATGAGTATAATCAGGAGTATAGATATAAGTATAAGTATACAAGTATAAAGTATAACTTTATGTATAAATATAGGTATAAATACTAGAACAAGGACTATAGTATAAGTATAAATAGAAGGAAGAATAGCATTTATTGTCTATTCACGGGAAATTCTTTTTTCCACTGGTTATCACAGCAATAACGATGGTATACAATATAAACATTCACATAATTATGGATGATAATACATTCGTGATAGGCGTTATTAACACATTTACGATAAATACATGAGAAACTATTATGATTCAATCATCGCTATACCATTGTGTCTTATTCTACTAAAACTTTAAACCTTAAAGCCTATATCTGCACTACTTTGGCCAGGAGGGATTAGACCTCCCTGCATGGTCACTGACAGGTTGGTATCTCATCAAGTCAGCTCTCGATTAACATAAGACAAAGGCATTGTCTGCTACATAGAGGGCACAGGTAGTGCAGTAGGGATTAAGGGGATTTATGAGTTCAGTCAGTGTCGGTTTTAACAAACCCTTTTCCATAGACGGACAGACGTCCAAGTTTTCAGTTTGTTTAACACCTTACTCTACTTCAAAGAGTATTTCTGGTTCTGGTTCCGAATAATACTCCGACAAAGTGGGTTCCCGCATCGCATCAGAGGGTTGGCCTGTTGGTTGACCTGGTGGAATTTACTTCAATCAGAATTCAATTCGAAATGCTCCTTGTTGCCACTCAATTTTATCTCCATAGTGGATAGCATGTCATTCTATTCAGAACACCTTTTAGTAGAGCTGGTCGATTATTTCCCTTCAAAGACTGAAATAAATCGAGGTCGTCCAGATTACGCTATACTTATGCCAATATACGACATTTCCACATTTGCAGAAAGCATTGCACGGAATAGCTCCCACTCTATTTTAAAAAGAGCGGACTAGTATCGAAACAACTTGAACACAAAAAAAAATCGCATTAAGTACACTTGCCTCACGAATCATCCTCCAGAAACAGTCCACAATGTCGAAACTACGTTATGTATTTTGCACTCAACATATTAACTCAAATACTGGCGATGGGATTTTTACGAGCCAAACAATAGAAAGACCTTATGCCAGTACTACAGAAACGTAATACCAGTAACCATATGTGAGATAAGACTGATTTAGATACTGACAATAAAAGAACATCGCAAGGGTGTAATATAATTGCAGTATTAAATATATACAAATGAAGATTAGTGCTACTGGCAGACAATGGTCTGCCAGTGGTGATTTCCCCATTTATTCTTTTCACCCACTTCCTCTCTCTTAAGTTATTTTTCAATATTTTGGAAAGTGTTTCTCCTTTTTTTTCTTCCTGCAGTTCAATTAGCTTTCTTAATTTTCTGGTTGTTTTTCCTTCAAGATGATATTTGCCAATAATATGAGGCGTAGATGCTACTTTTAAGAATCGGCTTGCATGGTGATGTAGATATATACAGTAGGCTAACGGTTGTCTCCTGACGACGGATCCAGTCAACCTTTCCGAAACGTCGAGCCCCTCCTACCACCCATCATCTCCAACCGGCGTTATAGTTCTCCTTAGAACTAGCTCAAGAAAGATTACCAATAGTCCTTCTCAGGACTAAATACACACTCAAGAAAGAAGGATTACCGACAGTTCTTTTCAGGACTCCCCAATCAACCCTAAGCCTATTGTATATAATATAAGGGGTATTCTAAAAATAAAAGTTGTAACAAAAATGTAACGAACGCATATGATTTAATGATTTTAATAATGATCCTTTTATCTGCGTAATATATGAATATTTGGTAAAAAAACAACATTACATATTTCTTCTTCTTTGTGAATATGAAAACAAAACAGTTTTACTTATATAATAGAGGCAGGATGTACCACCACTCGCCAAAACAATACAATTATGTTTTAAAAATGAAAAGGGGTGTTAACAGGAAATAAGGAGGAAGAAATCGAGAGCTTTAAAAGGGGAGTAAATAAATGACAAGTAATATGATGCAAGAAAGAATAATCATTATATTTATGAAACTCATAAAAAAAGACCTTTACCTGGTACCATATGGTTTGCCGCACCATCCCCATCTGTATCTTTTATCACATTACATGGTATGATCAACATGCATTTTCAGCAATACTGCAAAGAAGAACAATATGATGATTATTGAAAAATCAATTAATCAAAAGAAGAATAACGAGTACTGCGCAAATTCATGTAATTATACGGGTATCAAATTTTTTTCATTACAATTCAAACAAACAAAGGAAACAAATTTAAGTTGACACGAACAGTATTTTGTTTGTTAAATGTTTACATTGATCAAGATTTTCACCGCGAGAGATCTAAAGACCTTACTACTACATATATATCCTTTTTCTCTCGTCATGTATATTATCTTTTGAATTATCTTAGTGTTGCAATAATTGTATATCAAGCCTTTTAGCCCTACACTGGGCATAGTCGGATACTATGTATATTAAACCATGATTATTTTGTTAACGTTCACTTTTGTTAATATACAGTGCAGTAGTGCACCCAACGTTGGTAAGTTCTAATTATAAATTATAACCTATGTAACCTTGAATCGTATATCATGCTAATGTATAACTTATATCCTGTCTAATGATTCCATATTGATAATTGTGCTGCCCTGGATGACTGAGCAGCAGGCTTTTCAAAAAATATTGTCAA